GAGTAAGCTGGGATGAGAATTTCCGTGATCTGAGCCGGCCTGCACCGTGTGCTTGGTGGCATCGTTTACCTGTCGTGGTGTAGCCCAGTACGCTTCTGGAGGTGCTTCCAGTTCAGGACTACGTATGCCAGCTTTAGTTGTTCTCGTTCAGTAACCAGATCGCTGTAAATTCAGATCCTAGCTTACCCAGGACTAGCTTCCCTGTGCGGACCACCATTTGAGTGGGCAAAAGGATGATAAGCTCCTACCTTCAGTAGGCTACTTCAAGGGGTGTGCAAAACGCTGTGCGGAATTTTAACATTCCCGCCCTTTGCTTTCTGCAGTACTGTTCCATTTAAGGAAGTAAAGCTTCCTTGTAACATGGGGAGAATAACCAATGTGAAAGTCTACCTTGAGCCAAATTCGACGAGCACGCCTTTCCTTATCTCCTGTTGCTGTACGCGGGCAGCCTGCGTTGTGGCCTGACGATCCCCGTCCCCAACCAGCACTTCACCGTAGCAAGTGGAAGTTCACCATGCAGTCAGTTCAGCCGTTTTTCAAAAGCATGCACCGTGCTCTCCGATATTTATCTAGTTCTGGTATGAGAGGACAGTCCTGGTACTTCAGAGCTCTTGGCTTTCTTGATCATTATTGTTTTGTTCTGATGTCCTGTAAAATGGTATGTTCAGGTTAACGCGCTTCACAGGTCATTTTGGAACTGGTGAAGTATCTTTTTCAAAATCAAAGTAATCCAAACCTCATGTACCTGTAGATTAAAGAGATGCAAACCCCTGCTTTGTGCTAGCACAGTAGTCAGTGTATGTTAATGGGTACTCTCCTTGAATTACATACTTGAAAGTTTACAAATACTGAGATTAATTTGCAAATGCTACCCTGCAGCTTGTCGGCAAGTTCTGCTCTTTTAGCCAAGTATATATATATAAAACTGGGTTTCTCAGTGTTATTTTCCTCATATTATTGCTCGCAGTAGCACACGCTTTCCTAGCACAAAACTTGGCTTTTCATTGCTACCTCCTTTACATCTGGTCGGTTTTTTTCTGGTTTTATTTATGAATTCCGCAGTGAAAATCCCTGTATTTCTTTTGTTTTTAATATATTAAAATTTAGTAATTCTGGATTCTTCCAAAGTTCTGCTGCATGGCTTATGGCAAATGTTACTAGGTTGTTTACTCCATTAACAAAACCGGTTTGTGTGCATTTAGAGACCCTTATTTAATTGCCGCTTTTCCTTTTCTCCTGTTTTGTTCAGGAACTTCCCTTAACCCCTTCGTTTAGGTGGGGTTTTTTTTTGTGTCTGTCACCTTCAAGCTGCCTTTTTTAAGCTACTCTGACATCCATCATCAATGGAGAGCCTCCCTGCCTGCCTTCCTTGAGTGTGACGACAGCAGTATGGCTCTGTGAGCAAAGTAACGGCACAAATCTTCCGCAGCAACTGTTTATCTCCCGTTTCTTTGCCCAGTCATTTTCCATTTGAGAGTTGCAGCGTGCCGCTTTCCGGTGTTTTGGCATGTCTTAATTGCAATGATACTCTTCCCTTTCCGCTTCCGTGGATCTTCTCTGCACGTTTTGCTGGTGTTTGCACTGCAGGCGCTTGAAACCCAACAGCGGAGCAGAGCTCCTAAAACTGTAGCCTGGTACTAAAATGCATCCTTTAGTTTATAACCCTTGGGATCTCTTAATTTCTGCTCTTGTTGAGCTTGTAGCACTCCAGTAGAAGCTGTCTGCCTACGTTTGCATCCATCCTTGGGTTTGGTTGAGAAGGGAGCGTGGGTGTTGGATGAAAAATACAGCGTTTGCCATTGTCTGGGGGGTCTGAGCTAAGCCCCTCGCTCTCCTGGTGCACAGTCCACTGCTGGCAGCAGATGCATGAGGAACCACCGGCGCTCGAGATCCTGCGACGCGGGGAAGTACTTGCACCCATCTGGGGTGCAACTGCTTATTTAAAAACAAATGAAAGTACCAGAGCTCGGTTATTTTTAAAACAGCTCTAAACCTTAACATCAATTAAATGTTTTCCTCGTGGTTTCTACCATCATGTCAGTGTTTCCCAAACACCTTCTCTGTAACTAACCTGTTTTATCCTCCTGGTTTCTCGTGGTTTTCACGGATAATCGCTGGTGTGCTACGTTGATCACTGACAGAGTGGTCACTTGTCTATGAAAGGCGACCTCTTTTTTTAACGTGTTTGAAGCTGGTAACTAGTTTTCAGTTAAATTTAAGGCAAACAAAATACAGAGTTTTGTAACCTAGACACTTCTTGGTTTCAGCTTTTTTTAGTCCCTTTCCAGACCAAGCTCTTTGCCCCATCTAACGCAGTGTGTGCTGGCACTCGTGACGCAATGTGAAAGACAGGGTGGGA